CAACCTTGAGTCATTTGAAAGAAAGAAAAGACTTAAGATAATTATCAAACCCTAGAGAGACCTCTAAAAGTTTATCCTCACTCTTTAACTTCATTTTAGTCTTTCACCAAACTTAAAAAAGTTCTACACTTGCTTTACTTGAGCTGATATTTCTTCTCGCACTATACTCAAGCTTAAACGTCTAACACCCAACCTTTGTAGAGGCATTTTCTTTCTAAACATTGTACTTTTCTTGTGAAGATTTTAGCTTAACCTTGAACATCTATTTGTGTGTTTGTGGTTGAGTTCGTGAAAAACCATTGTTGAAAGATTTCAGTTGAGTCTATGAAAAATCATTGTTGAAAGGTTTCACTTGATCTAGTGAAAAAGCTTTGTAAAAGTTTCAGTTGATCTTGTGAAAAAACTATTGTGAGGGTTTTGCTGGATCCTATAAAAAACTCATTTCTCTTACTAGATTTGAAATTCCTTAGCGTTCCAAGAGAATGGATGTAGATACTAGAGAAAGTCAAATCACTATAAAAATATTATATCTTGCTTTAATATTTTCACATTGTAATTTATTGCTTGTATATAGCTTAAGAAAATATTTTACCTAGATTTATTATTTATGTTTTGCTTGCATTTAACTTAGGAAAATATTTTACCTTGATTTATTATTTGTTCTTTTCAATTTATTATTAAAAACTTGCTTAGGAAAATCACACATTTTGTTTTTGACACAAGAAATTTGTGGTTGCAAAAGTCTTGATTTTTACACTTAGTTTTCAAATATTTTTAAATACTAATTCATCCTTTCTTAATTTATTACTTATTGAGACTTCTACAATAACACATCAAAAGGTGATACTTGCACCCTACCCAAACCCAAGACAAGTATTAAAATTCCTTCTCGAACCTATTTCAAATCTCAATAGACGATACTCAAATCCTATAATATCGGATCAAGTACTAGTAGATAATTGAATAAAATGAACTCATAATTTACATCCTTAGTTCTGTTTAAGATATAAAAAGTTGGTTTGATTGCTTCTCCTCACAAAAATTTTAATAAAATAAACCCACTCATCATATCCTTTATAGTGTGATTCCACTTTTCAACCACACATTTTGTTTAGGACTACCAAGCACCGTGTATTAGGTATTATTCAATGACTCTATAAATATTTAGAAATGGATCCTTTTGTTGTCCTATTGTGTCAGGTTTACCATAATACTCATTACCTTTATTAGACTTGACAATCTTAATAGTTTTCGCATTTGTTTCTCAACATTACTTTTAAAGATTTTGAACTTATTAAGAGCTTTAAACTTTTCTTTAATTAAGAGTAGATAACCATAACGAGAAAAATAATCAAGGAATGTCATAGAGTATCTACAGTTACATATAGTAGGGGTATAAGGTTCACTTATGTTTGTATGAATGAGTTCTAATTAGTATTTCTATTTGATCTCTTTTCCTTTTATATTGGTTAATTTATCCCTAAAAAGTCAACACATGTGTTTGGATCATTAGAAGCAAAAGTAGGAAGGATATTATCCTTTATCAACCTTTCTACCATTTCCCTTTTTGTGGCCATCTTTTATGCCACAACATGGAAGACATTTCAAGTCCTTATATGTATTTTTGAAGAAAATTATTAATATTTAATTTTATATGCATTTTTAAAGAATTTTTTTAATATTTAGTTTCAAGTCCTTACAAAATTTAAATTTATCATTTTAATAATGTGACAAGATTTGGTAAATTGATCAAATACAAACAGTACAAGCATTATGAATGATAATATCAAGGCATCTTAGTTAAGTTTGATAGTAAACCATTTTAATGATGTACTCCCTGGCTACTATTTTCCCATCATAATTCATGGAAGAAAGTCTGTTCAGAAAAGGTCTAATTTCAACATTTGATTACACATATACCTTTGTATTATTATAGCTAATAACTCCTTTGCATTAGTGGTATCAAGAAGGCCATTTAACACGTATTGAAGAATTGACTGATAATAAGCAAATATAATTTACTGTATTTCTCCCTAAAAACCTTTCCTATGATTCTAAGAACTTCCCGCAATAAGTTCCATAGGCTTTCCTATATTCATAACCAAGCTTATGTCCACTATCTAAGTGTCAAACTCCACAATTTTCTTTTTCCAATTTTTAAAATTTGGTCTTGTTAAAATCTCAATGGTGACGAATTTGTTATTGACAAAAAAAGGTGATTAATTTTTAAATAGTGCACTTAACAGAATAAATAACGTAATAAACTACTATAAAGTCATTCTTCTCAACCAAGCAGTGTCATTATTAGTGTACTAGGACCTTGTTCTCATTTTCTAAATTCTTCAATGAGTAAGAAATTTAATACGTTAGATAGAAGAGGAGACATAGCGTTTCCTTTATATAGTGAATCTTTAATCCTACCAATCATAGGATGTAAGATTTTTAACACAAGCCCGCATGGAATATTGGAGTGTAAGTTATGTAACCCATTTTATTGCATCATATGTGAACTATAATATTATCTCATTATTCAAATCAAATTAACTTAGTTTGTATTTAACAAAATACAAAAAAATAAATAATATAATTCACACTTTAATTACATAAAAAAATGTAACATTGATTTTTTTTTTTAAAAAAAAAAAAGGGGTGGGTGAAGCTGGGTTTCTAGTGGAGCAGGCCAATGAATAAAGCTCCTTCTAAGATGATCATTCTCTCTTATCTCTTAAACATTTCATCCTTGGAGTTTTGGAAAGTAGGTAGGACCAGTGAATCAAAGACACTGCCAGGACAAGACACATTCATGATGGCATGTGAATTTTTGTTTTAGTGTGGTGAGCTTGAATCTTCCCAGGATGGCATGATGATTCCTCGGTTGGATGAATGTGACTATGTTTATGGATGATGTGTTGAGTAATGAATGGAGGCCTGATAGTGGACACATTCATTTTCCTTATTATTCAAGTCATAATAACGTGGACACTTCAACCTATTGTGAATATGTTTTGGGTTTGATACGTACGATCTCGAGTTAAAATGACAAAATGAGAAAACAGAGATAGTTGGTGTGTCTCATCTTAAGGATTATTTTATCTCATAATTATTTTTTTTTAAATTTAGAACTCGAAATCTTTCTTTTATCTCATAATTCTCTCTCTTTTCGTGCATCATTATATTAAAAATTTGAGAATAATTAAAATAAGAAATAAGTGAAAAATTAGTTTGGTTTTGAGAGTGAAAAACACCTTTTTAAAATCCGTCATTCTGTTAAACACAATAAAATCTCATAACTCGTTAATCAAAATTAATAAAAATATTTATGAAAAAAGTACTTTTTATTAAGAAATTGTTACGAGCGGTTTCTATTAACACTCCTAAACTATCAATAGATCGGAACTTGAGGACTTTAAGTTGGAATATCAAATGAAGTTTTAATCATGGGTATTTCTTTTAGGACAAGAACAAATTGAGTTTTACCTCTAAAACTAACTAGCTTTATTAGTTCTCTCTCCCATCCCATAATCTTGTTCAATGAATGCATTCCAACCAACCCCAAAGTGTCATAATATTCTTAAGCATGGGTGTTTGACTTAGAGACAAATATACACTAATTGAATTTGACTGTGACTTTACTTGTGGGTGAATGTAGGCATATTTGCGTGCAAGATTCATCAAAATTCCATGAGTGACTTCGATATCTTGTTCAAACTTGCAACCTACAAATTTGCCAAAATAGCTTTTTTTTTTTATTGCAATTTTGAAGTTAGGCTTTTGTCCCCAAATTGGCCACTTGAATATTTTGGAATCATATCAGATTCTTCTGGTGCCATACACAAATTTTGCACTTTACTTAAACTATGTTGAAAATGACTCTTGGGAGAAAAACAAGGCTAATTAAACATTTCATATTTAAATTCTAATGAAATTTTTTATGTAATATTTGAAGAAGAAAAAAAAAATCGTAATTAAGTGCTCCAAGTATGTTTTCGTTCAACAATTTGGCACATTTGGTTCATTCCTTAACCAAATTAGTGATAGAAATTGCCATTTGGGTACAAAAGGTCATGTCATTTTTTCTCTTTCATTTTTAATTTTTTTTTCCTAATTTTTTAATTTTTGAATAAAAATAAAAAAAAAAACTAAAAAATCCAAGATTAAGTAAAAGACAAAAAACCCTAGAATTTTTTTTATTTTAAATTAAAGAAGATGACAAGGAAACTAGGAAGAAAGAGAAGAAGAGGAAAGAAAGAGAAAGGATGGAGAAAGGGAAGGATGAGAGTAGGAATGTCAAAGGGTAAGGAATTTATCATTTTTTGGATATCTAATTTTAACTTTTATTAAATTATAAGGTACTTGAACTTTGTAATTACTGGAATAAAATTTAACAATATTACTCAATCTCATATTCTAATATCCTAAAATTACTCGTTAAATACACGTTTATGGTTAGAGATAAAACCAAAACAAATATATATCTTTAATTAAGTGAGAAAAAATAAACATAATTCCTTTTCATATAATATCAAAAAATGGGTTTAGTTAAATCGGCAAGATTTTTTATTTAAACAACATCGAAAATCTAAAAATTACTATTTTCCTATTTGAATCCATTTCAAATTCGAATAAAAGATATTCGAATTGTGCACAATTGGATTGAATACTCACAAGTACCCCATTAAAGAGCACCATTGCTATCCCTAAAGGAGAGAGTCAACTCAAGGTAAGAGAAAAGGGCCCTCCCTTCTTCCTTCGCACTCTCTTGCTTTCTCTCTCTTTCCTTTGTGATTTGAGAGAAAAAAAAAATAAACTCAACTTATTTTAAACACATGATGCATTTTCAATTTAATTGTGTTTGAACATGTCACGCATATTTTTTAAAAAAGTGCAAATTGATACATGGAAGAATACCAAATTTGAGTATCACATTCGAAGCGAAGTGAAGAGAAGAGAACACAAACCAAATTAATCAAAGGAAGTTGACAAGACCAAATTAGCTGTGGTGACCAAGAACAAGAAGATTCAAATTAAGAACATTTTATATTACAAGATATGCGAGAAGACGGCTGGTACCCTCTCATATCTTCCAAACTCAACATGCACCAAAATTACCCATCAAGGAAATTCAAACTCCTACTAAGGGTTACCAATATTTCAGAAACTAAAAGCTACAGTCAGAGCACATAAAAAAGGAAAAATAACAGCATATTTCTTAAATTTTCCCAGGGAGTAGGCAGAATGTCTAGATGGTAAAACCAATATTTGACCTACATATAACAGATAACAACTGTGCATAGCATTAGAGGCTGCCATCAAACGGATAACAGAATGAACCACTGAAATCCTTAATCAAGCAAATCAGACAATGCATTCTTCCTGAATGCATCAACTTGAGCCAGTTGTGCTGCTAAAGCCTTATTTGGGAATATATTATCAGCTTTCATCCTCTCCCTGATCCCATAAGCTGGAGCTTTGGCATTTACATATGCTTGGACTAGATATTGGAACTGACGAAGTCGAGCCATATATCCAGCCTGTCTCATTCTATGGAACATTTTTTCAGAATTATGAATATCACCCCTCTTAGAATACTGCTCCATAACAGCCATGAAGGAACTAAACATTGGCTTAACCTGGTTCTGCTGGCATGCCTTCTGCAAGATTGAGTCCGCCTTTTCCACTTCCCCTGCCTCCACATGAAGCTTCACAAGAGCGTCCCAAGTCAATGGGCCAATCTGGCACCCATTATCTGCCATACGTTTTACAAGATCCTTCCCTTTTTGCAGCATCTTATGGTTTGAATACACCTTCAAGAGTGAGGCACAATACCTTGCAGGAAGCTTCTTCCATTTTTTTAACATCATTTCAAAAACTGCCTCTGCCTCTTCAATTTTATTTAACTTTCCCCAACCTTCAATAGCAGCCATGTACTCTTCAAGGTGGGGATTCGATTCGCAAACCTTCCAAACTCTTTCCACTTCATCAGCTTTTCCAAGATCTGCATATAGAGGAAGCAAAAACCGGCAAGCCCAACGATTCTCTTTTTTGTTGTCTCCTTCCATCCCCTTTAAAACCTCCTCAGCTTTTTCTGTAAGCCCCCCTGACACATAGTGCTTAGCCAGAATGGATTGTGTGTGGATGTCTGGTTCAACACCTTCAGCCTTCATTGTCTCAACAATTTGATCCATCCCAGTTATGTCATTGGATAAACCTTTGGTGTCAATTAAGATTTTGTAAGTGAAGAGTGAAGGCTTGACATTTTCTTTCTCCATTAATAACAGTACATCAGCAATTTTCTTCTTGTCAAGCCTCTTGTAGAGGAGCAACAGCTGGTTGCAAGAAAACGAAGTAATTGGGAGTTCTAGGTCCCTCATTTTGTTAAAGACCTCTTCTGCTTTCTTCACATTGTTAGCAACAACACAGTTAGCCAGCAGAGTACGGTAGATTACCTCTCCTCTGAAAGATGATGGGATCTTCTCAATGTACATTTCAGCCTTTAGGAGACCATGCACTTTGGCAATCAAATCAAGACGAGAAGCATACTCTCTCTCAGTGAAGTCAAGCTGCTTATTTGCCTCCAGCCACTCAGAGAGCTGCAAACCATCAAATTGTAAGCAAATGAAAAGCAGAGAACAAAATGCCATTAGGTCAAACCTAAAATTTTCATAACCCAAAGTTATACATAATAGAATATAATTTCACTTTAGGCATTTAAAGGCAAAACAACAAATCCAACAAAATGGATGAATGCCAAAGATGCCTAAAACAGGGTGTTGATATTCTACAATCAGTGATATTTCATCAACTGACCTAGAAAATTCATACTATTTACACAGTTGACATTTTTGCGGCCTGTGCTATGCAGTGTAAAAATTAGAAGCCAAACAGATGTTAAAGGAAGTTGCATGTTAAAGGAAGTTGCACTAAACTAAATACTTTTTGAGCCTTCAGGTAATAACAAGCAAAGTGCAAAAACAGAAGGACTTTTCTTTTAATAGGGCATCCAACTGCCTCCTATACAAGGGAAAAATAAAGGTGCGCTACTTTCCAGGAGAAATAACAAAAATAAATGGCACAATTTTTCAGAACTTTTGGTGCCAAATTTGTGCAACCAAATTTTTAATCACGACAATGATCAGAGGCTTGGCATCATAAGAATGTCAGATTGTTGCAACTTGCAAGAACATCAATTACACTTTTTAATTGATTGCGAAAGATAGATGAACAAATCATTAAGACATAATTGATGATGCAGAATGAGCATTCTTTGACAAAGAAATATACTATTACATACACCAGACAAGCAATCGGTTAAGAGGAAGGGTAAAAACAAACTGAAGTTAGTTCAATCTACTCATGCAATATTGCATCAAAAAGAAAGGTGAGTAAAGGTTTCCACAAATTTATATTTTAAACGAAATAGATCATACTCATGTCATGTCACAAACATCCAAGCAAGAAAATTTATATGCCCGTGGCATCTAACACATATAGCAAATAGTTGTTTAGTTTTTATACTTAAAAAGGCTGATGATTGCTTCATATATCAATGTTTTCTTCAGCTCATCTTCTGACAGAGAATTCGTTTTTTATGCTTTACTATTTAACTTAATACCATGGAACTTCAGATAATCAAGTAATAATTACTTATCGTGACAAACTAGACTTGTAGAAATTAGAAGAATAACAAGTAAAAAGTTCTGTTCCTTGCTATATTGAAGAAAAGGAAAAACAGATAAAACAAGGAAAAGCTCATAAATCCTAGTTACACATCAATGGAATGACAAGTGGAGTTCTAAGCGTATTTTCTGATATATAAAAAGTCCTTCCAACAAAATAAAAATATAGAAGAACCTTAAAATAAAACATTACAGTTAAACATATGAAGCAGCTTTGCCTAAATCATATTTAGATATATATTACAGTAATACAGGAAGAGTGTAAGAAGCTTACACATTACACAAGAAGTAACATGAAAAAGCTGTACAATTTATTTAATTTTTTTATAAAAATTTATTTAGATAATTTGTAATGGAGAAAATTACCAAAATTTTAAAATCACAATTGGCTCAACACCTATATGCAGAAAAGTTAATTTGATATTCAACAGGGTGACTACAGAGCCCTATTAGTTACTGATAAATAAATCCCCAAGATGATGCCATGATAAATCAAATTACCTGCAATGCTCTTCCATACATTCGACGCTTGCGAAGATTGAGCATGGCTACTGAAATCTCAGGTCTGTTAAAAGCTTTTCCTTCCTCAAGCCACTTATCAAGAACCTTATGAACAGAAAGACCTGGAGCAGCGATAACAGCTTTGAACAGTTCTGAGATAATCCCTCCAGAGGATGACTTTTTGTCACTAAGATCAGTCTCATCCTCTGATAATTCCAGTTCATTTTTAGCAGTTTCTTCAATACCTTCCTCATCGCCAGATAATTCTGGATCAGAAATCAATCCATCTTCAGCTTCATCCTGAGCATTGCATTTTTCTTTCTTCTCAGCAGTAGCAGGTGTTTCAAGTTCAGAAAAGCCATCTTCCAAGTCATCTTCCTCCCCACTGCTCTCTGCACCAGCTTGGGAAGAAAGGCCACACCTCCCAACAGAGAAATTACAGGAAGCATGTCTTGAATGGTAAAATCTCAACAAAGATGGACATTTATCAGATGTTGTTTGAGAAGACTCGAAAATAACAGCCTTTCCTTCTATGTAGTTACTTGCTATCTGTAATTTAGCAGAAGCAGCATAAGAAGCTTGAATGCTAATCCTTCTATCCCTGCAAACCAAGCCAAAATTCATGGGTAACTAATTCAAACCAAAAGGCATGAATCACAAAAAAAAAAAAAGACAAGAAAAACAGAAAACTTTTTGTTGAATTCAAAGCTTACTATAAAACAGAAAGAAATGAAAAGAGATGACCATTGGTGAAACTTTTTGCTGATATTCAACAAAATGCACAATTCAATAAAAGCATGACCCTAAAACAATATAGAAAAACATCAATTTGGTTTCTAGTTACTTTGGAACTCAATATAGTGAAAGAAAATGCAGTCTAATTCAGAGAGTCGAACTGGTAATAAAAAATTAGGGCCATCTCAGACATCAAGCAGTTTCAGCAATTTTCTAAAAGCCGAAAATAAGCATGTTCCATGTCCGCCTGTAGCAAGGTCAGTTTAGGTTGGGAAGCAATAGCCAGGGAAGTAAGAGCATTCTAACAAAACAACGACAAGAAATAAGCATTAGATCACATAGAAGCAAAGGGAGGGAGGGTGGGGTGAGTGCACTTTAAGTTAATTCATTTCTACCAAATAAAACATATAGGATATGTCATGAAACCCAAGATTTCCATTCCCCTTTCCTTCTTTACTTCCTTGGAATTTTTCTCGGTAAACAAACGATAAAATGAAATGCAGACATAATTTATAAAACATAAGCAAGAGAGAGGAAGGTACTTGAGAGGATTAGCAACTCGGCGTAATGCCCACATGGTGAAGCAAAGAAGAAATGGTTAAAAACTCTTCAAAACCCAAAACCCTAAAAAGCAAACAAGAAATGGTGCAGCAGCCAGCGACGGTTTGTTCTTAATGCTTAAACCCTAAAAAACCCCGAGGCGAAAAATGGGAATCGCCCTCTTTCCATTTTTCGGCCATAAAATGAAAGTATAACAATTGGGCTTTCAAAGGGCCCCACGAGTTGTTGTGGAACTAGATACCTACATTTATGTTTAGCAAGCTCTGATTATGCTTTTTATACCTCTTAACTGTAAAAGTTTGTCATCACTTTTCAAGAAATTTTTTTTTCAGAGGTAAAATGTTTATAGAAATTAATTCATCTAAATAAGTGTTGAAAGATATAAAATATAAAGATAAAATACCTTGATTTCTCTAAATTTTAATTATAATTTCACATGAATTTATTACTATTTAAAATGAACAGTTTATCCCAAATGTGTAAATGGTCTTTATGAGCAAACATAAAATATTTAAAATACTTTTTTTATCTTTTTAACTATTTTCTTTTTTCTCATACGGGTGGTGCTCCACCAAGGGATCACACCCATATCACAATCCTTTTGAGAAATCTAGCTGGATCTCGCATTTCATAGCCAGATTCAATTATGGAGTGATCAGTCGACCAGAAGTAGGATAGAGAATTTTTTTTGAATAAGAGAGAAAAAAATTTTAAAAATGAAAAACTATAGTTTATATATATGGTAATTTTTAAAATTAAAGAAGGATAAACTTATCCGTGAAATATTATCATGTCATCAAACTAACAAAAACATATTTTTTTGAGGTAGAGTGTCCATTCAAATACTAATACATTCGTGTGGAATTATGGTTAAAACATAATTTTCTTACATCAATTGTAATGGACTCTAATGATGCGTTTTGTTTGCAAAATGTAATAGAGTGTGAATAGAATAATTATTTCGTGAAAATAAAATAAACTAATAATAGTTACTATATTGTTTGGTTTAAGGAATGAAATTTACATTTTGATATATTCCAAAATTTGGATTGCAAAAATAATTTTGAAATAACAAAAAATAATAAAAAGAATATATATATTATTATAATTTATGAATTTTAATATGAAATATTAATTTTTTGATAATTTATTAAAAATATTAATATTTTTCATTAAAACTTGTATTTGATTACTAATAAAAAGAAAAAATATATTTTTTATTTTTGAAAATATTAGTAATATATAATTAAAATGTTAATAATTTTTAATAATAATTTATTAATAATTCATTTCTATAATTTTTTAGTATATGCTATTAATTTTTTATAATTTACCTAAAATGATAATAATTTTTTATTATCAATTTATTTCTATAATTATCTAATTTATAAGTAAAAAATATTTTTTATAATTTCACTATAATATATAATAATTTATAAATAAAATAGGAATAAAATTTTTAATAAATTATTAATAGTTTCATTATAATATATTAATAATAGTTTTTAATAATTTAAAAATATTAATTTGTTATAATTTATTTGAGATATTAATAAATTTTAATTTTTAATAATTTAAAATAATAATTTTACAAAATGTTTAAGAGTATTTTTATCCAAAAAAAATTTTGTTTATTCCAACCCATCATAATAGCTAATACCAAAGGAAGTTGTTATTAGCTATTTTGTGTTTTAAAGAAATTGTCATTCCTTGAGAATAGTCATTTACTTATTCAAAAATGAGCTAAACACAAATATAAGAATAGAGGGGAAATAAAGGAGGAATGGTTATGCCATTCTTTCTAACCAAACATACTGTCAGAGTAATCTTGAATGTCACACGAAATCAAAGTTGGGCAAAATTCAAAGGGGCACAATGGCTGGGAACTACAAGAACTTATTGTGGCTTAATTTGGTTTGCGCATGACCATTTTTTATTATAATGCCAAAACTTTAATGGTTAGAGTTTTTAAGTGCAATGTTATGGATCTCATATCTTAAGAGATAAAGTAGGTCTTGCGTTTATAAATAAGGATCTTTCTCTACTTATCAGATATGTCTTTTAAGTTAGAAATGTAAACTTGTAACACATGGTCATAGCTGATATAAACAAATGTTGAGAATTATGATAAATATAAATTGCTTGTAATAATAGAAATATGTTGCAAAATTATGAACCGATG